GCTAATGGTCAGGTAATGAGCTGATTCCATTCCTCGAATGCCAAATTATTGCAATTGAAAGTAGTAGAAAGAGACTGCGTATCTGAACCAGGCTTCAATTTGAGTGTTACGTAAGAGAAAGGAGAATAATGTTTTTGCAATACGACTAATATAAACATTGTTGTTGTTGTTGTTTTTGAAAAGATACAAATCTATTAATCTCTAAGAACATCTATAATTTGAAACATTCAGCTGCTAATTTCTTTTTCCTATTACAATAACAAGGTGGTTAGTTTCAACCACATTGTCTCCGCTAACATCTTGAATATTGATAAAATAATCTGCAAAGAATATTGCGGACAAACTTAATTGGTTACTACTTTTACAGATATTGAATAGTCGAGGAAAGCTGGCAAATTCTATATATTCCATGGCCATAAGAAAAGGTGTACTTATGTGTTGTACGCTTCTTGAGAAAGAAATCTAAATTATATTGATCATAACGCCATGTTTGCAATCCTATGAATTGAAATAAGAGAAACGACAGGTACTCACCGCACCTTCCGGAGTGTTTGCCTTTCATTGGGGACCGACATTCAGCGAAGCTCGGCGGAAAGCCTAACGCTTAACCTAACCTAATCGTTGTACAGCATTCTTCGTATTCACAATTACACCCCGAAATATATTTTTCATTCATTGATTATTTCGTGGCGCCTCAACTACCATGGTCATTAGTCCCGTAGGGCTAGTAATGTTCTTATCGCGATAGCGATGTTCTTCCCCCTCCGACACCGACCTGGTTTTCCCCTACCAGGTATCCGCCACCAGCGGTTCACTACCCCACTGATATTAGTTGTAAGCTTCCAACATGGTCTCCCAACATGTGTGTGTGTGTGTGTGTGTACGTAAAGAGTGAGGAAGAGGGAGGGAAGATTGCGTGCTTTCCGTGGCCCCTTTGTTAGGATTCTGTTCCGGCATTCGCCTGGTGAGACCATGGAAAACAACAGATAGAGCCGCCGGCCAATAGAATTCTGCTACATAGAGCGGCTGAATTGAACCTACCTACAGTAGCTAGTGTCAAAAATCCTGCTGCCATCGGAACCAACATCTCCCTAAAGAACGGCCCATCGACCGCGCACGATCTTTCTTTCCTCATTCTTTCATTCTTGTCCAATTCTCACACCTAACTTCCACACACTTTACATGCACTACATTTCCACACATGTCGTGAGCCACTCGAGAGCTTAGATCTTGTCCCGGATGGACCGGCGTCCCGCTTGGGGAAATACTTGGATTGGGGAAATCCCTGCAAGCTGACGTGTAGATAGGTGCCGGATCTAACGATCCGGTGGGAGAACACCTCTCACTTCCCGTAAATAAACTTTACTGGCTCTTTAGTTATGGTACTAATTACCGCAGCTGTTGACGTGCCCGGAAACTATATTCAATAAATTACTATTTTTATGGTTTTACTATTTTTACCCCCACTATCTAATGTGTTGCAAAGTACATATATGACAATTCGAAAATATATAAGTGTATTCTCATTGCATACAATTGTCACACGATTTGACTGGAGAAGGGAAACTTAGTTGGAGGAGGAGCAGCAGCAGCAGCAGCAGCAGCAACGAGTTATCGAAATAAGTATGTTTTCGACAACGCTTCCTTACATATTGATATAATTTACTAGCACCGAGTTGTAATCACGCTAGCAGAAACATGGTGCTGGTTTGTGTTGTGCGCGGTATTCACAATAGATTCTTTAGATTATTTCGTTGATAAAATGGTGGACACAACCAACCATGTAGTAACTCACGAAAAGAGTGATTCGCCAAGTTCTGCCGCTCTATGAGCCCCTTATCTCCGTTATTCCAAATCACCTAACATCTCCATCATCTGACATCCCCATCATCAAAATCGCTAACCACCTATCCCCTCACCACCCAACTTCTCGACACCAAACAACACTAGCTCCTAACTGTTCACCTTCATACAACTCCACCACTTAATCACCATCTATCAAACCGCCCCGGCACTTGACCACACAACCAAGCCACCTCTTTGGTCCCACACTTGGATGTTCTCCCTAAGTTCACCTTCACCTCCATCTCAAGCAATGTTCTCTGCCATGCAAACGTCACAATTGCCATCGCTCTTTCCATCACTCTACCTTCACAGTGTTCTGAAAACCTGACCTCTAGTTGTCATAATTCCCTCCTATCTTAATGCTGATTCCGTCGCCGTGAGTTTGGGGCGCCGGCGGCGAAAGCGCCGCGTGTCAGCGCGTCGTCGCCGGCGTGTGCGTGCGTGCGTGGGTGGGAGCGGGAAGAGGAGCGCGGGGGCGTAGAGACTCTTCTGGGAAGACGACGCTGACGACGTCGGCGTCCGTTGCGCCCTGGTTGCCGCGCCGACTGTCGCGCGACGCCACAACACCGCAATGCCGCTCATTTTGCGTTCGCCCACTCCGTGCGGACGGTTCCGGCACCCTTCTCCAGCATTCCTCGGTCGGTCCCGACTCTGGGAGGTCCACTCTACCAACGAAGGAGATGATGACGGAAACAGCGTGCTGAGAAGTTCGGTTTTTGTTATGAAGATTTCGTTCCATGTGGTGGTGTTCGGTTGGTCCAGATGTTGAATGGTCTTCCAGCAAAACAAGGATGTGAGTGAAAGTGAGCAAGTTTCTCTTATGAGTTGATTGTTAGAACCTGCGTGACCTAGAATAAGGTAAACAATGAAATATTTGACATAAACTTCATAATGTAGAATGTGTAGCTGAAGATCTATTATGGGATGCAGCTTAATCGTTTTTCGTTAAATGTTCATGTAAAACCTTAAGTTGAAGTCGGGCAATTTCAAAAACAATGTTTCAAATATTCTTGAGTTTGTTTTAATTATGTGCGTGTATCTTGTATGTTTTATTAATGTGGCTTGCTAGTTAAAAAAATCGTTGCCTTCTTGGTTTGCCTCACTTTGTACGTATAACTGGGTGATCTATCTGACGTAGTAATATGAAACTTACGTATAATTGCCTTATTAATTGTATAACTCACTTTGAATTTGCACGTGTGCCAGAGTAGCATCAATGACGAGATAGTCTTATCCTTTCCAAAAATTTCCTCGTTTTATCCGTCTGTGCCGACGCTAAGAAGTTTGAGTCTGAGTATCGTGTATGGTTTATCGTTTCCACCTTACAAATTAAAATGCCGTTAATGTTGGGTGAAATCAAATTTACACTATAATTTCGCAGGTGTCTTATGCTAGATGTTATCGCTAGTTATACTAAAAGTATTTTGAAGGTCGCTTTTCAACATCTTGGTCATAGAGCAACCTTGTAATTTTTAAACAGAAGGGAGAACACGTAAGGTCAGCACAAACTCACTCAAACATCCGAACCCGCAACCCTTCGAGCCGGAAAATAATTTTGATTTAGAGAAGTATAGGACAATGTGTGGAAGGTGACTTACATAAAATTCCCAAAATGCAAGGGGTTTCACATATTGCGAATGTATTGCACGTGAGCATATAACAGTACATCTCGGAACATTTCGTCTGTAAAGTCCCAAAAGATGTCTTAGAAAAGTACAATGTTCAATGTATATATTTATAATTATACCAGATAATATTTTTGCCTGTCATCTGTTCTTAACACTTCGGCACATACAGGTACTTGACTGTTCAATACATAGTCGTATAAATTTAATGTGTGCGTGGAATCAACAACAGTTCAAGAACATATTTACATACAAATTGTTATCACATTAAAGCATCAGCATTAAATACAAAATGAAAGTGGACACAAATTCAGCCAAACAATTATTAAATCTCAATCTGACCTAAGAAATTTAACCTGACCTAAGAAATGTATATTTTGTTAATATACAGTCAAAATAGATGCATTCTCGTGAACGTAGCCATACAAATGCTCGCTTCACCTCCTCTTTCGCTATTGTGTTAATTATTATAATGTTGTTCGGAACTATAAAACAGTTAAGAGTTGTTCCAATGAAAGGCGAAAATTCTTTGAAAGTGCTCAAGCAATTGTAATAATGCATATGTGTAGATACGCTGATTAAAAACTTCAGTTAACCATCGCGCGTCTTATAGAAATATACCCTTTAGAGCGGTCTAGTTTTTACCTTCTCGCCTATTTCTTACGCAGTACAGAGAAAGTATTGTAATGCTGCGGGGGAAAACGGCGATTTGTTTCCAAACAAACTCTTGCTGACCACCCTAGTAACTAAAAAGTGGATAAAACTTGTTCCTATGGGAAGTAAATTATTTCCTCTAACACGTTGCGTAGTCAAAATTCACGTTTTGTGTCTTCGATACCGAGAAATTATATTACGACAAAACTGTCTGTGAATGTCTTGCAGCGTGCTGTTCAGAAGAGATCTCCAGCCCCTCGTAGCTTTGGAGAGTGTATGGCCAGGCATACAGGATTCATGGTGTCAGTTTCCTACAGCACTACTTCAGACTAGTCGAGTCCATGCCAGGTCGTGTTGCGGCACTTCTGGGTGCTCACGGGGACCCTACACAATATTAGGCAGGTGTACCAGTTTTTTGGGCTGTTCAGTGTATAATACATAATATATATCCGTAAGATGGACCTTAAGTAATGATACCGTAGTTGCTTATTATGTCATTCCTCAGAGAAAAGATTGGATGCCTTCAGTTCTGGATGTTTAAATTATAAGTGAAATTATCCTTGCTTGTCTGTATAATGTTCTGGAAAAATTGTTACAATTGAGAGATTTATTCATGTTTGTTTCTCATGTGTGCGTGGAAGATTTTGTTGGTATACATGTTTGTGTGTGCTTATGCCGGCCGAATGTTTCTGGGCGTGCATGTGTGTGCGTGTGCGCGTGTGCGCGTGTGCATGCGTGTTTGTGTCTGGACTTGGGTGCGCAGGTGTTTCTGCGTATACATGCGTGTGCACTCGTACTCACGCGTGGCTGCGCGCACGCGCGTGCGTACGTGTGCGAGTCCGAACGCGCGTGTTGTGCGGTGCGTAGGCGGTGCAGATGGCGAGTTGCCCCGAGCGCCTGGACCTGTCGGACGGCGGGCTGGAGCGGCTGCCCGAGTCGCTGGCGTCGTTCGGCGCGCTGCGCGAGCTGTCGCTGGCGCGCAACCGCCTGGGCGCGGCGTCGGCGGGCGGCGAGTGCGACGCGCAGCTGCTGGCGCGGCTGCCGCTGCTGCGCGCGCTCTCGCTGGCCGGCAACGCGCTGCGCGTCGCGCCCTGCGCCCTGCTGCGCCTCGCCCACCTGCACACGCTCGACCTCTCCGACAACGCGCTCGCGCACCTGCCCGCCGACATCGACCGTCTCACCAGGTGAGCCACGCCCCTCCGAGCATGTTCTGCTCCTGCACTACGTAGTTGTGTGTTGAGTGTTTTCAACTGTTAACATTTGTTTCGTCGGAAACATCTAGCTGAGATGGTTCAGCGCCACAGCCGTTGCCATTACAGTGCCTCTGACCGGGTGATCCTTGACTTCCCCGGCGTGTTTACGATACCAGCTACATGGTTTCCACCAGACGAATGTTCTGATCGGTTGTCCGAGGTTCCTCCAATCTTTTATGGACTACACTACCACATATATCGAAAGAGCACCAGTTTAGAGTTTGTCCTGACCGGGGCGGTACCCACTGGCGGACATGCCTGGAGGAGGAACCTCGTACGCCCACGTGGTGGTCGCCCCCGTATCTCACGTTCCAGCGGAAGAGGAACACCGCCACTTTACGCATTATAACATCCAGTGCACTTACAGAACTAATGGTTATATTTATTTATTTACGTCAAAAACAGTTAAAACTGTGTGTGTGACGTGCTATGGGGAGAAGTTAATTTGAAGTTACATTTATGTCCAGAAGCAAAACAAGGGGTCATCTCAGCATTTGCTCGAGGTTCAGGGAAAACCTGATCGATACTGGGGTCATTGACTCCGACGCTGAAGTACGATACTTGTTACAGGTTCTTTACATTTATACAATCCAAATGGTATAAAATACATTGAATATCATTGTTAAAATTAATATTACTTTCCTTTTGGATGCTCGGTATAGTCTTTAATTGTATAGAAACAGTTGCGCAGCAGAAAACATTTTACTTGGAACTTTTGTATCGAATTAAACTTTTGTATCAATTTTTTGACGCCCCTGGCAATACAAAATAGACAAAAATTATAAAATATATTCAAAATATTCTCAAGAAACCACAGTTTTGGTCTGAGTTTTGTGAACTGTATTCGACATTTTCAAATGTGTTGAAATAAATTATTGTCGCTTGTTATAGTACTAATGCTAGTAGAGTTTACTGTGTATGTGAACGTTCTTCTACTAGATATGTCTTCATTCTCTTATTTTACATTGAGTTATTTTCTTACTAAGTTATCCATTACGTTACTGTAACAGATCTATGAACAAAGTTACATATGTCATAAATAAGACTAGTAATTTTTTTCCTGTCAATAGTATATCTACAAAATCTGTGTTCATTATTACTTACCATTATTACACACAATTTGTCACAAACTCAGCTGATTTGTGTAATTTCTATCGTGGGAAGTATCGAAATAATTCCATAATAGGGTGATAAAATGTGTGTTTTCCGCAACAGCGAACGCAGAGGACTCGGTCAGGCGTTTAGCGAAGCAACAGTTCCCAGGAATGAATCGCCAAGATGCGTAAAGGACCATCAGGGCGGTAATTAACGGAGAAGGAATCTTCCGCGTCTCTGGCTTTACAACTGCCAGAAGTAGGACGACGGCCAGACAGCTTTCGTGGAGAGACGTAGCTTCCTTCCTCCGAGAGTGCGTAGTGCAGTCTATTTCTATTGATGCACGGAAATTAGTTGCGAGAAAATGAAAACAAAAACTTTTCGGTCATATTCCATATAGCTGTCAGATTTTAAAACTGAAAAATATTTATATCATGCATTTAGCTTGTATTTAAAAACATATTTTTCGGCGTCTTCCTACAAGTACAATTATAAAGGTAGATATATTTTTCCTTAATGAAGTATGTTCCTTAAAGATAGATTTTGAAATAAGATCAAGTACAATTTTTCGAAAATTTGAGTTCTTTTCGCGTAGTTTTGTGTGAAAGTAGGGCAAAAAAGTACGTGCTGTTATAGCATCACTAGTTTCTTCTTGGTACAGGCCAAGTTCCAAACAAAACCCAAGAGAATCTGAAGTACCTCAAACCATCGCACTTGCGCATATATTTAGGGTCCTATCCAATGTATGATTAGATCGTCCTGGTACTTCAGTTAACTTCTAGGTTGTAATCAAGACTAAGATGTTAGTGGTAGTATAAAACGAAACTGTATGCCAAACGTAAAACTACAATAACAGAATCGTGCAATGTACTATTGGGTGCGCGTCTTAAACGAATTATTAGCGAGTTTGAAAATTGAAGGACTTCACTGCATATACGGTGGAGTCATTTCACACTCGTTAACTTTTAAACAAAGTTGTTACGCTCGCTTAGGTTTCCCGTCATCTATTCGAATTATCAATTCATTGTCTTGTAGTAACTAATTTTCTTTTAGCAAAATGGTTTTAATATCATTGTATTCAAACGCATCTGCTTACTATATGCAGCTGCTAAGTCATCATGCATGTCAAGAAACAAAAGACAAGGAAATGTTAATTTGCATAACTAAGTAGCATTTGTAACTTACGACGACCTTCGTGGATTGTCTGAACTCGGAGTGCACTCGGTGCATGGCTCTAGCTATTTTTATTAATTCTTGATTTTCGGGATTGTTGACTTCTCTGTAATGATATTTGAAAATTTATTGTAGTTCTCCCTTTTTCGCTGTCTCTTGCAAAATAACTGAAAGAAAGCTATATTATGTTAGCAAGGTGTCTGCATTAAAGTAATGGACTGCATTTATGATGACAGCAATTTGAATGTGCTTGTAGTTCCACTCGCTGCCGCAAAATGGCGCTGGCGAAGAGGAAAGCTTCAAGGGAACGCGCCTTACTCGCGCACCCACGCGGTCATCCACGGCAACCACATGGGCTGCCCTCATTTTCATCTTGAAACGACATCTTAATGCCGTTGAATCTCGTTTAATTCCAAACTCTACAAATCGAAAACCCGTACAATTACAAATAATCTTAATTTCTTTGAAAAAATATCAGACTTCTTTCCTGCCTTTCATTTTTTCTCTCTCTATCCACATAGTCTCATTCATTTGTTCCCAAATTTCGCAATCCATTTCATCCATTTCAAGGAAAGAAAGGTGTGTTTTAATGACAGACGATATGCAAGTATGGATTCTAATCTAAGATGGCATGTGGGGGATAGGTGTCAAGAGAATTAGCAATACACACAAGAATGTACAAGAACCGGGAACCTACATGTAGGGAAAAAAGGGATAATTGAAGGAAGGAGAAGAGGTAGAGAAAGGGAATGATTTGATAAAGAGAATACAATTTGGGCGAAATAGGAAGGATAATAGATAGTAATTATGAAGTAAATATGAATTGATATTACGAAGGATAATTGCTATTGCGAATTGGTGTGTTGTGTTGGGAACTGATGTATGGAGGAATGATTCTATTGTAATTGGATGATAGTTATGATGAGAAACTAGAGAAATAGAAAGATGGATCCAAATGTATTATCGAAAGCGAGTTGGATGTTAAAATAAACTTCTACTAGATCTCGAGCTTTATTATAAAATGTATTTTACGATGATTGGAAGCGATGTCTTCGGACATGCAGGAAAAATTTACGAAAGAAAGCACTATAAGACGAAAATGTTCAAATCATCATTACAAAATACTATTAAGGTATGGATTATAAATTAGTGCGTCACCAGTAGACATTTGTTTTGTTTGAACTTGTTCGATTTGTATCAGTTCAATTTATCGAAGTGTTTATTGTCAATAAATCGGTTATTACCTTCATAAACGAAATATCTTAGCATTATATTAATACATCGTATTGCTACATCAGCAGTCTCATCAGAGCATTCATATTTTCATTACATTATCCCCACATTAAAATGGATAGAATATAGGCGTGGAATTATCCTCGTCACTGGAATTGTAGAGCTCGTTAGTGTACTTGTGGAATATAAGCATGGAATCGTCTGCCTCACTGAAATCGTAGATCTGAAAAGAGTGCTTGTAGAATATAAGCAAAGAATCATTCACTGGAATAGTAGCGCTGGATAGAGTACTTGTGAAGTATAAGCATTCAAGCATCTGCGTGAATATATTGCAGCGCTGGAGGGAGTGCTCTTAGAATGGCGGCGTGGAGGGCGGCCGTGAACAGAGGGGAAAAGGCGGTTTCGATGAGTCTTCGCTCGACCGATTGAGAGGCCTTTCCTCTGCTTTTTGTGTCGCAGCTGCTGTACCGTGCCATGTTACTTCACGCAGCTGTTGGCAGAGAAGCGAGAAGGTCCGTCTCGAGCGGTGTGAAACCCGCCTTTCTTCTGATGGGCTTTGGTTTTCTCCGGATGGAGTAGGCAATGCACTTGTTCTCAGATTGCATGCGAACAGAGAAAATAATTCTAAGAAGTAGAGCTTCAAATTCGTTTTTTACTGGAGGAATCATACTTTTTCATCGAAAGCTAATAGTCTTGCCTCGCCAGCGATTTGTGTAAAAAAAATAGGTCTACTCTGCTGTAAAGATTGGTGCTAAACTACGACCCGCGTAGGCATTTTAAATATTATTTCCTCTTTATTTTTTTTCCTATAGTTTCATTAATCTTACGTGCGTTGAAATGTTACAGAGCATAGTGTGGTATGTTAAATAAGATGAAGTAGGCCTTCTTTACTTTCGTTGCGTTGCGAATCGAAATAAGCGTTCCTTCTACATCGTCTTACTTCCTACAGTCATTTTCCTGAACTAAATTAACATCTTCGCCAGGATTAGCCCAGTTTTGTCGCACAGTCTCATTAACAAACCACGAAGAAGGCAAGCAAATATGTTAATTTATTTAAACCATCATTTCCCAACCAATTTTTTGTTGCGAACCGAATTTCTAGAAACCGAAAAAATGTATGAATCCCCTGTAATTGAAAAAACTAAAGAAAACAAAATTTTGTTTCTTGTTAAAATTGTGTCCATGTTACCTAATGGAAAATAAAACTACTTTAAAATCACCGATCCGAAAAACAGGAGAAATGTTTGAACTGTGACTGTTTGTAATAAACTATAGAAATAGCCATAAGAAAACGGAGTCAAATTAAATATCAGTGATTTTCATTTGTTGCCATTCTATTTCCAAGCCCAGTAAGAGTTCGAAAAACGATTGAAGATAAAAGGACGATGCAATTGTGGCAAAAGAATAACGTGGTGTCAGAACGGCTGGAA